CCTCTCCCCCTCTCTGTCTCTCTTTCTCCCTTTTCCTCTCTCTTTCCTCCCTCTCCCTCCCCTCTTCTCTTTCTCTCTCTCCTTTTCTCCCTCCTCCTTTCTCCCCCTCTCTTTTCTCCCTCTCCCTCTTTCTCTCTTCTCTCTCTCTCTTTCTCTCTCCTTCTCCCTCTCCTCTCTCTCTCTCTTTCTCTCTCTTTCTCCCTCTCCTTCCTTCCTCCCTTCTCCTCCCCTCTTTCTCTTCCACTACCTCGATCACGGATTGCGACTCTCTTCAAATCAAAGGAACGCCCTCTTTATCCTCTTTGCTTCATTAAGCCCTCCCTCCTCCCCCTCTCCGTCTCCATCTCCTTCCTTTCCTTCCCCCCCCCATTCCTCCGTCTGGCTGGGTCTGTGTGTCTGGTTGGTTGCTTGCTTGCTTGCCTGTTTGGCTGCCTGCCTGCCTGCAACTTCGCCTTTCTTTCTTTCTTTCTTTCTTACTCCTTTCTTTCTTTATCTCTCTCTCTCTCCTCTCGCTTTCTCTATCTTCGCGCTCTTTTTCCCTTTTTTTTCTCTTTCTCTTTTTCCCTTTCCTCTTTCTCTTTTCTCTTTCTCTTCTCTTTCCTTTCTCTCTTCCCTCTCTCTCTCTCGCTTCCCTCCATCTCTGTTATTCCCCAAGAAAATTATGTTTTTATCCCTATCATTTACTACAATATAACGGCAACAACAACACCAGCGACAAAAAAAAAAAAAAAATAAAACGACATCAACGCCAAACACACCGCGCCCAGGCTCGAAACGACAAAAAAAAAAAAAAAACTGCTACGCCCCCTCCTCCACCCCGCCCATCCACCTCCCCCCTCCTTCCCTCCCTCCCGTCGCTCCCTGCCTCTCCTAGCATCCTAACACCTCCGCCCTCGCGCCCTCACCCCCTGCCATTCTCACTCCGCCCTCACGCCCTCGCCGCCCTCACCCCCTCGCCATCCTACTCCCGCCCTCACGCCCTCACGCCCCTCACGCCCTCAGCGCCCTCACCCCCCCCCTCACCCCTGCCAATCTCACGCGTCCTTAATTACTCCCTAATTCCCACACTATCTACCCCTTAAACGCGTCCAACTCAACGCCACGCAACGAGGGATCCGTCAATGAACTCCCCTCCGCCGTACACTGCATAATGGTAATGCCGGTTAGATACACGCACTTGCACCTTCACGTACACACGAGCGCTGTCACTTACACGTACACACGAGCGCTGTCACCTACACGTACACACGAGCAAGGTCTATATAAGTACTTATATAGACCTTGCACACGAGCGCTGTACACACATAGATAGATATCTGTATGTACTTTCCTTGAGACTACACAAAAAAAGAGTTTACGTCAAAAAAAGGAACCAAAAAAATACAAAACAAACGAACAAAAACAACAAACAGTCTGATCCAAAAACACAAATAAGAGAAAACCGCCAAACAAGATCCAAAAAATCTCCCATACCTCCACAAACACAAACAAACGACAAAAACAAAATAAGAGAAAAACCCAGAAAAAAACACCCAAACAAAAAAACTTCCATTTCTCCACAAACAAACAAACGACAAAAACAAAATAAGAGAAAAACGCCAGAAAAAAACACCCAAACAAAAACCTCCCCTACCTCAACCAACAAAACAAACGACAAAAAAAGCGAAAAAAAAAACACCACCCCCCCCACCCCCGCACCGTCCCCGCGGCCATTGCAGAGAGAGAGAAGGACAACATGAACCACCACCCGGCGATTACGATTACGCAATCCCCATCGACCGCCGTGGTCCTTCCGATGAAGATTAATCAGATAATCAATCCCGCCTCGTGACATTATTTATTTATTGGTCCTTCCCCCGCCTTTCTTCACCACACACGCACCCACCGCCGAGATAATTACCAAGATAATTAGGACGCGCCGGGCCCGAATGCGCTATCAACGCTGAACCTGCTTAAGCCAGTGTTATGATTATCTCTGTAATTGCCTTGTCATTATTATTACTTTTTTTGGGGGGGTGTTTGTGAAGGAAGGGGAAAGCAGGAAGAGTAAATAATGATCTTTGTAATTGTCTCCTCTTTATTTTTTTATTTATTTATCTATTCTATTTTCTTTTTTTTTGGGGGGGGGAGGGGGTGGTTTATGAAGGGAGGGAAGCAGGAAAGAGTAAAATATGATCTTTGTAATTGTCTCCTCATTATTTTTTTTTTTTTATTTATCTATTTTTCTTCTTTTTTTTTGGGGGAGGGGGGTGTTTGTGAAGGAAGGTGGAGGGAAGCAGGAAAGAAAGAGTAAAATAATGAAGTTTTCACGAACTTCAAAATGAAGCAAGTACAAAGATAGATAGGATGAACACGTCTCTTTTGGCTAGTCGCTGATAAGAGCATTCTAGACATTTTGTTTATTTCTACTGATAAGGCATTCTAGACATCTGGTTTAGTTACTGATAAGGGCACTCTAGACATTTAGTCACTGATAAGGGCATTCTAGACATCCGGTTTAGTCACTGATAAGGCACTCTAGACACCTCTCTAGCCCACGACAAGAGCGCTCCAGAAACGGACTTAGTCACCGGCGAGAGCATCCTCCCCTTGCCCTCCCTCCCTCACCTACTGTTTACACTGCAATGAACGATGAAGACGCAAGTGTTTCCATTTTCGATCTGGGACGCGGGCGGTGCCGGAGAGGAGTGAAGGGCGCCCTTCACGACATGCCCCCCCCCCCCCCCGTCTTCCGCTTCCCTCTCCCCATCCTCAAAGGGCCCTCACACAGCTCCCTCCCCCCCGGCCGCTCACTCAACCCGGTCGCCGTTTTTTTTTTTTTTCTCCCTTCGTCCCTATCCCTATCTTTCACGGGTCTTCGCCTCTCGTCGCTATCTTTCACGGGTCTTCCATCTCTCGTCGCTATCTTTCACGGGTCTTTCGCTGTTATCTCTCCTCGCCATCTTCATCCATTCCCCCTTTCCTTGTTATCTCTCATCGCCATCTTTATCCATTCCCCCTTTCCTATGGCCTTCTCTTTCCCCTTTTCCCTTCCAACCCTCCCCGCGCTCCTCCTACGCGAGGTCGCTCCATCACTCCACCACCTTTACTTCCTTCCTCTCCCCTCCCCCCCCCCTCACTCCCCTCATCCCCCCATGCCCCTCCCCCCTCATTCCCCCATGCCCCCCCTCCCCCCTCCCTTTCAGCAAAGCCTCGCCCTGGCCATTCATCATGTTATTCAGAGCATTCATCCCGCGTGCGGCCACGCGCGCGCGCCATCAATCTCCCGGCCCACGAAGCCTCACCCGCTAATTACGTGCCGGCCGACGCAGCCCTTCTGTCTCCTGCGACCAGTGACCAGTGACCACGACCTGCGACTTGTTAAATACGACCTGTTACCTGCGACCTACGACATGTGACTTGTTACCTACAACCTGCGACTTGTTAGCTACGACCTACGACCTGTTACCTAAAACCTGCGACTTGTTACCTACGACCTGCAACCTATTACCTGCTACCTACGACTGTTACCTACGACTTACGACCTTCGACCTACGACCTGGCCTCCGCGACCCTCCTCCTTTATCCGACCCCGAATAAGAGCTCGCGATAAAAGGGAAGCAAACGATAAAAGCGGGAATATATAAATAGAATACCGAGGAAAGAAAACACAAAATCCTAATCGCCGAGATAAACACAGGCAGATTTTCAGATTTCCTTCTGCGTCTCTGCTGCCCCCCCCCCCCCCCACTCGCTTTCCGCCTGCCTGTCACTCTCGCTGATGACTGCCTCCAGCCTGGCTCATAAATACGCATGACTGTCACCAGTCTGACCCATAAAAATTGATGGCTTGCTGTGGCTCCTGTTTCGAAGCCAACCCTGAAGCGAATGAGAAACAAGCAGGCATTCATTATAATATATATATATATATATATATATATATATATATATATATATATATATATATATATATATATATATATATATAAGACAGACAGAGAAAGAGAGAAAGAGAGAGAGAGAGAGAAGAGAGAGAGAGAGAGAGAGAGAGAGAGAGAGAGAGAGAGAGAGAGAGAGAGAGAGAGAGAGAGAGAGAGAGAGAGAGAGAGAGAGAGAGGAGGAGAGAGAGAGAGAGAGAGAAAGAGAGAGAAGAGAAGAGAAAGAAAAGAAGAGAGAGAGAAAGAGAAAGAGAAACGAGAAAAGAAAGAAAAGAAAAGAGAGAGAAAGAATAAAGAGCATCTCGCATTCCCACATCACTTCCACCTTGTCCTTTTCCTGATCTTCCCAAAATATAAATATCCCCCCTTCGATCGGACCGAAGAAAACGAGAGAATTACACGTCTGTCCCATTTTCTTCGATTCGTTTCCCTCGCACTCCTATGCTCGTGGCGGAACGAAGACAAAACAAGGAAAGAATATGAATAAAATAAATAAATAAATAAATAAATAAATAAAATAAAACCGTATGGGAAAAAAACTCATGAATGAATGCGGTACAAATTCTAATGTCAATGCTGCTTATAATGGAGATAATAATTACACTGACGATAAAAACAATAACAATATCTGTCAAGCTGTCTTAAATAACACATCATAACAGCAACAATAAGACTAATAAAAATAATATCAACAACAACAACAAAAAAACACCACCACCACCAATGTACTAAACACAAACAGACAACAAAAACGACAACAATAATCCCCCCACAAATAAAACTTCGGAAGCCCCGAATCCGACAAAAAACGAGGGCGGCCGAAGGAGAGAGCGGCGGGCGAGGCGAGAGAGCGGCGTCACATCCCCGCGCCGCCTCCTATATATGTAAATGTTGGCCCCGCTGAGTAATAACGTTGTCTTGGAGGGCGGGGGCGGAGGTGTCCTCGGGGCCTGGGGCTGGAGGGGCGTCTGGGCGGGCTGCGGGAGGACAGGAGGGGCGTCTGGGAGGACAGGAGGGGCGTCTAGGAGTAATGGAGCGGGCGTTTGGGGCGGGGGGGAAGGACAGGAGGGGTGATTGGGCGGGCTACGGGAAGGACAGGAGGGGTGTCTGGGAGGACAGGAGGGGCGTCTGGAGGACAGGAGGGGCGTCTGGGAGGACTGGAGGGGCGTCTGGTAGGACAGGAGGCCGTCTGCGGAGGACAGGAGGGGTGTCCGAGGGGCTGGAGGGCGTCTGGGCGGGCTGCGGAGGACATGGTGGGGCGTCTGGGAGGACAGGAGGGTGTGCTAGGAGTAATGGAGGGGCGTTTGGGCGGGCTACGGGGTTCTGAGAGGACAGGAGGGGTGTCTTCGAGGTCAGGGGCTGGAGGGCGTAGGCGGGCTGCGGGGAGTGGTCTGGGAGGACAGGAGGGGCGTCTGAGAGGACAGAAGGGGTGATTGGGCGGGCTACGGGAGGACAGGAGGGGTGTCTAGGAGCATTGGAGGGGTGTCTGGGTGGGCTACGGGGTTCTGAGAGGAACAGGAGGGGTGAGTCAGAGGGGCTGGAGGGCGTCTAGGCGAGGGTCAGGGGAAGGGGTGGGAGGGCGGAAGGAGGACGACGGGAGGACAGGAGGGGGTCTTGACGGGCTACGGGAGGACAGGAGGGGTGAGTTGAACGGGAGGACAGGGGGCGTCTCGGAGGCTGCTGCTGGGAGGACAGGACAGGAGGGGCGTCTGGAGGACTGGATTCTGGGAGGACAGGGGGGCGTTTGGCCGGCTACGGGGTTTCTGATAGGACCGAGGGGTGTCTAGGAGTACTGAGGAGTGCCCGGGAGGTCTGGGAGGATCGGAGGGGTATCTGTGAGGAATGGAGGAGTCTCTGGGTGGGATCTAGAGGAGGGTGTAGGTGGGTATTGGTGGAAGTCTCTCCGGACTCGAGGACGGGGTGCCTCGTTAGACTCTACAGGGGGCTGACTCGGAGGACTGCAGGGGTGAGTTGGACTCTGCTGGGGACTAACTGGAAGGGTGTCTGGGTAGGATCTACTGAGAGAGAGAGAGAGAGAGAGAGAGAGAGAGAGACGAGAGAGAGAGAGAGAGAGAGAGAGAGAGAGAGAGAGAGAGAGAGAGAGAGAGAGAGAGAGAAGAGAGAGAGAGAGAGAGAGAGAGAGAGAGAGAGAGAGAAGAGAGAGAGAAGGAGAGAGAGACAAGAAAAAAAAAAAGAAAGAAAAAAAGAGAAAGACAAAGACAAAGAAAGAAACAGAAACAGAAAGAGAGAGAGAGAGAGAGGGAACGCGAGGTATTTCCAGACACCGCCGAGGAGAAAGGCTGTCATCCTGTCAGCCTCCTCGCCTGCCTCCTTGAAGGGGCACGTCCGCATGTGTCACTCGCGGGAAAATAATAACGAGGAATTGGAAAACCTCTTGTTCTGGGCGGCGCTCTTTGGTCCCGGGGAGAAGGAGAGGAGAGAGGAATGGAGGGAATGGAGGGAAGGCGAAGCTGGAAAAGAATGGAGGAGAGAGGATGGGAAAGAATGGAGGAGAAGAGGATGGAGGAGAGGATGGGAGGAGGAGGAGAGAGGAGCGAAGGGAATGGGAAAGAATGGAGGAGAGAGGAGCGAAGGGAATGGAGAATGGAGGATTGGGAAGAATGGAGGAGAGAGGAGCCTGGGAAAGGAATGGGAGGAGAGGAGCGAACGGGAAGACAAGGAATGGAAAGGGAGGAGAGAGGAGCGAAGGGAATGGGAAGGATGGAGGAGAGAGAGGCGAAGGAATGGGAAAGAATGGAGGAGAAAGCGAAGGGAATGGGAAGGAGGAGAAGAGAGAGGAGGTGACGGAGAGAAAAAATAAGAAAGGGAGAGCAAGGGGAGGTGGAAAAGGAGAGAGAGAAAGATACAGCAAAAGAGTGAGAGGAGGAGGAGGAGAGGAAAATGGGGCAGGGGAGGGAGGAGGGAAGGAGGGGGGGAAGGAGGAAGGAGGAGGGAGGGAGAGGGGGAGGGAAAGACGAGGGAGGAAGTGACAGGAGGGAGGAAGGAGAGCGGAGAAGGAGGCGGAGGGAGAAAAGAAGGGGAGAAGGAGGGGAAAGGGAGGGAAGGGGAGAGAGGGAGGAAGGGAGAGAGGGAGAGAGGGAGAGGAGAAGAGAGAGAGAGAGAGAGACAGAGAAGAGGAGAGAGAGAGAGAGAGAGAGAGAGAGAGAGAGAGAGAGAGAGAGAGAGAGGGAGAGGAGAGAGAGGGGAGAGAGAGAGAGAGAGAGAGAGAGAGAGAGAGAGAGAGAGAGAGAGAGAGAGAGAGAGAGGAGAGAGAAGAGAGAGAGAGAGAGAGAGAGAGAGAGAGAGAGAGAGAGAGAGGAGAGAGAGAGAGAGAGAGAGAGAGAGAGAGAGAGAGAGAGAGAGAGAGAGGAGAGAGAGAGAGAGAGAGAGAGAGAGAGAGAGAGAGAGAGAGAGAGAGAGAGAGAGAGAGAGAGAGAAAGAGAAGCAGACATCCCACACACCCCGCAGCACACCCAATGACCCCCAAGCTAAACCATTCCCTCTGCCTGCGTAGGAGCTCGAGGCCGAGGCAGCGGTTCGACCAGCCAAATTAGCGGCGTGGGAATGACACGCATAATTTAGCCCACAAGGGCCGGCGTGATGCTCGATGCACGCAAATGATCAATAGCCCCCCCCCCCCCCCCACCCCCGGCCCTACCCCCGCCTCGCAGAAGCACCAGCCAGCGCTCCCCACTCCAGGACCGACTGAACTTCCATCTAGGATTCCTTGAGCTAGGGTCACGCTAGTCTCCTCTGTCCTGGGATCCTTAGACAGCCAGGTCAAGCTAGAGTCACAACTTAGACTTTCTCTGTCCGGAGATCCCTAGACAACCTCGCCGAAGCCAGGTCAAGCTAGGGTCAAACTAGACTTCTCTATCCGGAGATCCCTAGCCAACCTCGCCGAAGCCAGGTCAAGCTAGGGTCACACTAGTCTCCTCTGTCCTGGGATCCTTAGACAGCCTCGTCGAAGCCAGGTCAAGCTGGGGTCACACTAGTCTTCTCTGTCCTGGGATCCTAGACATCCTCGCCGAAGCCAGGTCAAGCTAGGGTCAAACTAGACTTCCTCTGTCCGGAGATCCTAGACAGCCTCGTCGAAGCCAGGTCAAGCTGGGGTTCACGCTAGTCTGTCTCTATTCTGGGATCCCTAGACAGCCTCGCCGAAACCAGGTCAAGCTAGGGTCACACTAGAACTCTTCTATTCTGGGATCCCTAGACAGGCCCGCCGAAGCCAGGTCAAGCTAGGCGTCAAACTAGACTTCTCTATCCGGAGATCTCTAGCCAAACTCGCCGAAGCCAGGTCGCTCAGTCTCCTCTGTCAAGGGATCCTTAGACAGCTAAGATCCCTAGACAGCCTCGCCGAAATCTAACCAGCTAAGGCTTTTGATTCGTCAGCTGACCTGACTTGAGCGAGGCTATCTCTTTGGATCCCAGGACAGAGAAGACTAATCTGACCTTAGCTTGGGGTCGAACGGGACAAAGAAGACTAATCTGACCTTAGCTTGGAGTCGAAATCGGTATTTATTTCGACATTGCGCCTCACACTTCGCCATGGGTCGCCAGGACACGGCCATTACACGCACGCTGTCGGAGCTTGGACACGGCTGCCGGGAGCACTCAGGATTCACTGCTGCCTCTACGAAATACTCGGTATAAAGAAAAGGGAAGCTGGGGCGTGATTCCCTGATCGATCTATTAGATATAATGTGCAATATACCTTTTTATAAACTAATGATAAGACCAGGCACTTTGATAAGGTTACTTCCAAAAAAAATTGATTTTTAAGATGTGCAAAAAAAAAAAAAAGTGTCAAGCTAATCGGCTGAGACTAATGCAGTCTATTACAAAGAAAATAGGAAATGGAGCGACAGTGACACGACAGTCATAATGAGAGAAACGCGGACCCCCCTTTCCCTCTTTCTCTGTCTATCTGTCTTTCTATTTCATTTTTCCATCTATATTCCCCCCTCTTTTCTGCCAGACATCTACCCCTCCCTTAAATCCTCCCTTTTCCCTTTTTCACTTCGTACCTCCATTCCCTTCTTTGGCGTCATTCACCCCCCTACTTTCCCCCTCCCCCCTCCCTCTTCTTTCCTTTATTCAAAGATATACGTTCTTTTGGAGGACTATATATAAATGTATGTATGTATTTATGTGTATACACACACACACGCACACACACGAGAAGCGAGGAAGCCCCCGCGGCGAGAGCGCCCCTGGGCCGCATACCTGCCGCCGGGGAGGGCGTCCCCGCGGCGAAATCAAGCCATCAGGGCGACGACGCACCGGCGAACGTGTGGTTTGCGATCGTAAAACACGAGGGCGATTTGTCCCGCCGCGAATTTGCGCCGCGAACGCCGTGTTGCGGGCCCGGCTAGTCCGATGATGACACGAGCGGCCGCAATCAGGCCAAACGCGTAAACACTTCCTTGCGGCGCTGCGGACCTTTATCCCCCGCGGTCACGCCCCGGCCGGCCTTGAGCGGCCTCGCCCCCGCCATTCCCGAACGACCGCGCCGTCACGCCCCCGAGGATTTGCGTGCGGGGGAGGCTCACGGGAGAGCCGCGCGAGCACACGCACGGGGGCTGCGGGCGGCCGGCTGCGTCGACGCCGCGGATGGCCGACGAAAACCTCCGCTCCTTTATGGGGTTTCCTTTCGCCTTCATTCGCTCTCGCTTGATGATTTTCGCTTTTCCTTTTTTCTAGGGTTTTTTTTATTTTATTTTTCTATCTTATTCTATTATTTTCCTTTTTTATAGTTTTTTTTCTATTTTATTTTTCTATTTTAGTTTTTTCCTTTATGGGGTTCCTTTCGCCTTCATTCGCTCTTCGCTTGGTGATTTTCGCTTTCCTTTTTTTCAGGGTTTTTTTTCTATTTATTTTCTATCTTATTCTATTATTTTTCCTTTTTTATAGTTTTTTTCTATTTTTATTTTTCTATTTTTTTTATTATTTTAGTTTTTTCTCCTTTATGGGTTTCCTTTCGCCTTCATTCGCTCTCGCTTGATGATTTTTCGCTTTTCCTTTTTTTCACGGGTTTTTGCCCTTATTTGGAACACGTTTCACGCTACATTTTTTCTATCGATCTACTTCTGCATTCTTCTCTATACCTGTCGTAACATTTCTTATCTATTCCTCCGATCCCATATCTTTGAACTGCCGCAGCGAATTAAAACAACATCATTAACAGCAACAACAATAATAACAACAACAACAGCATTTGCAGCAACAACAACAAAAACAACAACAAGAAAATAACGACACAGTAGGCTATCCCGCTGTCATTTTCCTCCCGGATTCTTCCCCAAACCGAATTTCGTCTGCAATCTGAATTGTATTTCGTCTCCCCTTCCCTCCTCCTCCTCCTCCTCATTCGCCTCGCCTCGCCTCCTGTCCGCCCCCGTCGGAGTTCTGTCGGTGAACGCCAGGATGGAGTCCTTGGGATAGGCTGATCCGGACACGAGAGGGGGGGTAGGCCGAGACAAGGGGAAAATGACACAAAGCAGGAGTTGGGGACGTAGATAAGCACCATAGACTGTCTGTGTCTGTCTGTCTGTGCTATCAAACATACACAACACATGCAATATATACACACACAATCCTGCCATACACAATACCCCCTACCTACAAACCCCATTCATAACACACTCGTATACACAGCCTCTCTCCCATCACACAAACACCCCCTACACCACACACAAACACACACACACACACACACACACACACACACACAAATACACACAGACAGACAGACAGACACAAACACACCACAGCGAAAGCACGCGAGCAGCCCGGCCTCCTAAAGGGGGCTCTCGGCAGGTTCGTCATCCCAGGAATCCTCGCCACAAATTTCCTCCAACCTCTCCCCCACCCCCCACCCCCTCCATCCTTCCACCCCCCCACCCCCACCCCCACTACCTCCACTCCCTCCACCCTCTCCCCCACCCCTCGTTCCACCCTCTCCCCAACCCTTCGTTCCAACCCCTATACCTCCACTCCCTCCCCCATCCCTCGTTCCATCCCTTCCACCCCACCCCCACTACCTCCACCCTCTCCCCCACCCCTCGTTCCAACCCCTATACCCCACCCCCACTACCTTTCACTACCTCCCCATCCCTCCCCCACCCCCACTACCTCCACTCCCTCCCCCACCCCCTACCCCCACCCGTCGTCCCACCACCTCCACCCCCACCCCTCGTTCCACCCCCTACAAACTCCACCCCCTCCCCCACCCCACCCCCACCTATACCCCCCCTCCCCACGCCACGCCCGCCCCTCGTCGAGATATATATATATGAGCCGCTGCAGCATCAAAAGCCCCTCCGCACGCCCGTCTCGGATGGGAAATGGTAATGCCAGAACAATCTGCAGATCATCAAAGTCAGGGAGGAGGAGGAGGGAGGGTGGGGGAGGGGGGAGGAAGAGAAAGGAGTGGGGAAGGGGAGGGAAAAGTGAGGAACGGGGGGGAGGAGGAGGAAGGAAGGAAGAGGGAGGGGAGTGGGAAGGAGGAAGAAAGAGAAAGAAATGAAGAAGGGTGAGGAGGGAGGAAAAAGGAAGAGAAAGAAATGAGGAAGAGGGAGGGGAGGGGGAAAGAGGAAGGAAGAGAGGAGGGGGAAAGGGGAAGGAGGAGAAAGGAGGAAATGAGGAAGGGGAAGGAGGACGAAAGAGAACGCAGTGGGGAAGCAAGGTAAAGGGGAAGGGGTAAGGATGAAGAAGGAAGTGGGGAAGAGACGACAGGGCGGAAGAAGGAAGAAAGAGAAAGTGGGGAAGCGAAAGAAGGGGGAAGGAGGAAGAGAAAGGAGAAAGTAGGGAAGGGAAGGAGGGGGAAACAGGAGGAAGCGAGGAAAAGAGGGAATGGAGAAGGAGGGGAAGGAAGAAGAAAGACAGACGAGTAAGTTCGAAGGGAAGGAAAGAAGGGGGAGAAGGGTAAGAAATGGGTAAGGAACTTGGGGCAGAAAAGGCGGAGGGAGAAAGGAGAAAATGAGGTAAAGAGGGGATAGAAAGGAGAAAGGGGGGGAAGAGAGAGAATGAAGCAAAGTGGGAACAGGAATAAGAACGAAAAGAACAACAACGGAGACGGGAAAATACGGAGAAAGGAGAAAGAGGGGATAAGGACGGGGGAAGAAGAGGGAAAAGAGAGGGGAAGGAGAGGGGGGGGACGACCTCGAGACGACCTCATCTCGCTTTACAACACAGACACGAAGCTCCCCCGCCCTCTCGTTCCGCAGACGTCACTTCCTCGCCCCTGAACTTCCAGAAAAGGATCGATCCTCATTTTTCTCATCTGTCTATATAGGCCTCTCCTATGCGGTCCTCTCCAGTTAATAATAATAATTAGGGATTAGCGATTTTCCCCATCTGTCTATATAGGCCTCTCCTATGCGGTCCTCGCCGCTAATAATAATAATTAGGGATTAGCGATTTTCCCCATCTGTCTATATAGGCCTCTCCTATGCGGTCCTCTCCAGCTAATAATAATAATTAGGGATTAGCGATTTTCCCCATCTGTCTATATAGGCCTCTCCTATGCGGTCCTCGCCAGCTAATAATAATAATTAGGGACTAGCGATTTTCCCCATCTGTCTATATAGGCCTTTCCTATGCGGTCCTCTCCAGCTAATAATAATAATTAGAATTCGCGACGTATGAGGCTGCCCCTCTCAATTCTCAACTCACTCACTTACCTACTCTCTTCCCAATATCTCTCTCCCTTCACCCACCCCCTTCTCCCTTTCCCTCTCCATCTCCCTTCCCTTTCCCTCTCCATCTCCCTTCCCTTTCCCTCTCCATCTCCCTTCCCTTTCCCTCTCCATCTCCCTTCCCTTTCCCTCGTCCATCTCCCTTCCCTTTCCCTCTCCATCTCCTTCCTTTCCCCTTCCATCTCCTTCCCTCCCCTCTCCATCTCCCTTCCCTTTCCCTCTCCATCTCCCTTCCCTTTCCCTCTCCATCTCATCTCCCTTCCCTTTCCCTCTCCATCTCCCTTCCCTTTCCCTTCTCCCTCTCCCTTCCCTCTTCCCTTCCCATCTCCCTTCCCTTTCCCCCTCCATCTCCCTTCCCTCTCTCCATCTCCATCTTCCCTTCCCTTTTCCCATCTCCCTTCCCTTTTCCTCTCTCCGCTGTCCTCTTCTCCCTCACCTCCGCTCTCCGCCTTCTCCCACCTTCCTTCCTCTCAATACCACCTTCCTTCAATGCCACCCTCCTGCCCTGAAGAAAAATCCCCTTTGTTGACACACACGCACGAACGTCGGCGTCTGCGGAAAGTTAGCGTGAAGGAAAATCGGATAACGAGTGCGTTGCGAGAAGGGAGCGAGTGGTGGAGCGAGAGTGGAGGGAGGTGGGCGAGAGTGGAGGGAGGGTGGGCGAGAGTGGAGGAGGGTGGGAGCGTGGAGGGAGAGTGGGCGAGAGTGGAGGGAGGGTGGGCGAGAGTGTGGAGAGTGGAGGGAGGGTGGGCGGTGGCGAGAGTGCAGTCGAGAGCCGAGAGTGAGGGGTGGGCGAGAGTGGGAGGGTGGGCGAGAGTGGAGGAGGGTGGAGAGGTGGGGAGTGGGAGAGT